TTTTTTTTTTTTTTTTACCATATAGCACAGTGTTTTAACCATAAGCTTTTTACTATAGCCCTTCTTAGAATAGATAGATGAGTAAATTCAGGACTGATGATAAAGTCCTTAAGGGTATATGAGAGACAAGACTCTTCAACTAGAAGTTAATTAGGAATGATCATCTCAAGTTAAAAAAAAAGAGTTTGAGGGATTGAGGAGCACAATGTATATTTGAGAGATAATGAAAGACCACAACTTTTTTTTTTTTTAATAAGGATGTAAAAGAAGGATTAGCTTGGAGAGTCATAGTGGATGCCTGTAATGCTTTGGATTTCTATGAATAGAAGTTGTGGAGAAGTCATAGTCTAATATAGAGTCCTAACCCCTTGATTCATAAGGTCCAAAGAGATTACTGTTAACTTTGTTTTAAAGTCACTTTTTAGGTTCCCTTTCCCTCATGTTTTGGTTATCACCACACTTCATAGAGAAGGAAAAAAAAATGGTTATCTTTGCCTTTGTCACATGTCAAAGTACTCAGGATTCTTATTATCCTTGGATGCTAGGCCCTCTTTAGATGGCAGGAATTTTGTACTTACTCTTTTTTGCATCTATGTACTTAAGTCTAACTGTCTTAACAGAATGAATGAAAATTAACTTAAAAAAGTGAAATTATAAGTCAATCGTGTGCTGGCAAATGTTGAACTGGTTGTTTGGAAAAAGCAGGCATGATATATAAATACAAATTTAGATAGATATATAAATATATATGAACATATATGGTATATATATTACTGATATTAAGGTGTGTAGCATAGAATTAAATAATAAAATGTATGGTGCTCTTTATTATAAATTCCAAATAGCCAATTTTCAGAGAATACGTTTGTTGATTTTTTAAGTTTTTATTTACATTCCAGTTAGCTAACATACAGTGTTATATTAGTTTCAGGTGTACAATATAGTGATTCAACAATTCCATGCATTACTCAGTGCTCATCATAAGTGCACTCCTTAATCTGCATCATTTATTTAACACAGTGCCCCACCTCCCTTCTCTCTGGTAACCATCAGATTGTTTGCTATAATTAAGAGCTCTTTCTTTATTATCATATTTATTTTTATTAAAAATGTGTTTTTATTTTATTATTTTTTGAAATTTTAGATTCTCTTTAATGACAGATTCATATTGTTTATATATGTGTATTAAATTTACTCATAAAATACCTGATTATGTTTAAGATTTTATTTATTTATTTGACAGGTCACAAGTAGGCAGAGAGGCAGGCAGAGAGAGGAAGGGAAGCAGGCTCCCTGCTGAGCAGAGAGCCCGATGTGGGGCTCGATCCCAGGACCCTGGGATCATGACCTGAGCCGAAGGCAGAGGCTTTAACCCACTGAGCCACCCAGGCGCCCCCCTGATTATGTTTAATTTAATTAGTTAATACACTAATTATGCAGAATAAATTTTATAAAATTATATCGATACTAACCAACTACTATTGTGATTTTTATATGATCTAGCTTAAAAAAAGCTGCAGGCTTTTAACAAGTATCTGTTAGGCTAAATGGAGCAGAAAAATGTTAACAAGAACAAAATACTAGCACCATTTATTAAAAGTTAACTGAACACTTGACACTGTATTAAGCACTATGTGTACCAGTCTTACTGAATTAGTGTAATAGTTAGATGATGTAGTTACTTTCAAGCATCCTCATAGATAATGATGCTTCCCTAATAACTATTTCTATTTGGACATGCCACACATTGTAAGGATTATACTTATCTATTTTTCCAGGCAGTTGCTAGCCAAATCACTATTTAGTAGTACTGGAGCTGGTTGGCTAGAGCCTTCACCTTGATTAAAGCACAGTGAGAATGGGTCTTCCATATTTTTTGTGGAAATAACTTATAAACTCATTAGCTTCTGTTAATAAATGAATGAGTGATTCCTGTTAAAAGGCTGAAGTATATAGGATACAGTACTCAGTCACAATATTTACAACTATTTCAGATGTCAATCAGAGAGATGAATTAAATGAGATTCCAGTTGCACATGGAAGTACAAACTGTTATTATCAATATGAAGGTTTGTATAGCTTGTAAACTCAACTTTAAATTCCATCAATTGCACAAGGAAGGCAAATCTTGCAGTATCATACAGATTTGTTTTTTTATATTGAAATAATTGTTGTAAATGCCAGGCTGGTGATATCATGGGATTATAGATTTGATTATCTGTAATTTCAGATATTTCTTTTTTTTTTTTTACTTGTGAGAGGACTAGTTTCAACTTAGTTATCTTTTTTTTCCTTTCCCTAATTTTTTTTTAAATTCCAGTTAGTTAACATAGAGAGTAATATTATTTTCAGGTATAGAATTTAGGGATTAATCAACACCCAGTGCTCGTCACAAGAATTGCCTTCCTTAATACACATCACCTATTTAATCCCTCTCCTGCCTACCTTCCCTCAAGTAATCATCTGTTCTATACAGTTAATAGTCTGTTTCTTGGTTTCCTTCTCTTTCCCCCCCATGTTCACTAGTTTTGTTTCTTAAATTCCACGTATGAACGAAATCATGTATTTGTCTTCCTCTGACTTATTTTGTGTAACTTAATTCTTTGTGGTTCCTTCCATGTTGATACAAATGGCAAGTTTTAATTCTTTTTATGGCTGAATAATATTTCATGGTACATATATGTGTATATATGGTACATATGTATATGTACATATATATGTATGTGTGTTTGTGTGTGTGTGTGTACTACATCTTTATCCATTCATCAGTCAGTGGACATTTGTACTATTTCTGTAACTTGGCTATTGTAGATAATGCTGATATAAACATCAGGGTACATGTATCCTTTGAATTAGTATTTTTGTGTTCTTTGTGTAAATACCTAGTAGTGCAGCTGCTGGATTGTAGGACAGCTATATTTTTAATTTTTTAGGAACTTCCATACTGTTTTCCAGAGTGGCTACACCAGTTTGCATTCCCACCAACAGTGTAAGAGGGTTCCCCTTTCTCCACATGCTCACCAGCATCTAATGTTTCTTCTATTGTTGATTTTGGCCATTCTGACAGGTGTGAGGTAAGTTCAAATACAGTTTTAAAATAGTTTCAGGTGTACAGTATAGTACTTCAAAACTTCCATACATCACCCTGTGCTCATCATGACAAGAACATTTCATAATCCCCATCACTTACTTAATCCATCCCCTCACCAACCTACCCTCTGGTAACCAGGCTGTTCTCTATAATTAAGAGATATTCTTGCTTTGTCTATCTCTTATTTTTCCCTTTCCTTGTTTGTTTGTTTTTTTCTCTTATATTCCACATCAGGACAGGGCTCCTGGGTGACTCAATTGGTTTCTGTCAAATAAATAAATAAAGTCTTTTAAAAAATAATAAATTCCACATAGGAGTGAAATCACATACTATTTGTCTTTCTCTAATTAACTTATTTCTCTTAGCTTTATATTTTCTAGCTCCATACATGTCATTTTAAATGGCAAGATTCCATTCTTTTTTATGGCTGGATATTATTCCATTGTATATATATACCACTTCTTTATCTATTCATCATTGGATGGACGCTTGGGCTGCTTTCATATCTTGGCATGGTAAATACTGCTCGTATAAATACAGGGGTGCATGTATCCCTTTGAATTAGTGTTCTTATATTCTTTAGGAAAATATCCAGTAGCATGATTGTTGGATCATAAGGTAGTTCTATTTTTAACATTTTGAAGAACTTCCTTACTGTTTTCCACAGTGAGTGCACCAGTTTGCATTCCCACCATCAGTGTAAGAGGGTTCCCCTTTCTCCACATCCTTGCCAACACCTGTTGTTCCTTGTGTTTTTTATTTTAGCTATTCTGAGTATTGTGAAGTGATACCTCATTCTTATTTTAATTTGTATTTTCCTGATGATAAGTGATGTTGAGTATCTTTTCATGTCTGTTGGTCAAGTGTATATCTTCTTTGGATAAATGTCTGTGCATGTCTTCTGCCCATTTTTAAAGTGGATTATTTGCTTTTTGGGTATTGAGTTTTATAAGATCTTTATACATTTTGGATTCTGACCCTTTATTAGGTATGCCATTTGCAAATATCTTCTCCCATTCCATAGGTTGTCTTTTAGTTTTATTGATTATTTCCTTACTGTGCAGAAGATTTTTATTTTGATTTAGTCTCAATAGCTTAGTTTTGTTTTTCTTCCCTTGGCTCAGGAGACATATCTAGAAAGAGTTGGTAAGGCTAGTGTCAAAGAGGTTACTGCCTTTGTTCTGTTCTAGGATTTTTATGGTTTCAGGTCTCATGTTTAGGTCTTTAATCAATTTTGAATTTATTTTTGTGTATGTTGTAATAAAGTTAGCCATTTTCTTTCTTTTGCATGTTGCTGTCCAGCACCAATTGTTGTAGAGACTGTCTTTTTCCCATTGGATATTCTTTCCTGCCTTGTCAAAGATTAATTGACAGTATACACATGGGTTTATTTCTGGGTTTTCTATACTATTC